TTATAATAACATATAATTGTGCAAGTGTTAATCTAGAAAACAAAATAAGCATGTCCTAGATACCCGATTAAAATCAGAGGTGTAGCCAGAATTTGAAGTTTACGAGTTCTGAATTTGGCACGAAATTCATAGCTCGTCTTAGTTACTGGGTTCAAAATTAAATATTTATACATATTTGATGAATTTCCTAGTACAAATATAATGTTTATGCAAAAGTGACTGGATTCTGCCGAACGCGCTAGCTCCTCCTCTAATTAAAATATACCATGGTGTGAAAATAATATTTATTTTTGGTGTACATAAAACAAATCCTAAACAAGATAATTAAGAATTTGGTTGTTAGGTAAAGAGTCGCCATAAGTTATGTTTCATTGATTCTATATAGTTAATACTTCAATTTCTTTCACACCATAAAAAGAACAAAAGTTAATTAACCAATAATAATTCACGCAGTCGTGTTCACATGGAATTTCCCCCTTTTCCATGAGATTTGAGTTGTAATAAATTGGATTTATAGTTCAAAAACAACAAAAAGATTCACATGGGAAGAGAAGCCAATAAACAAAACTAACTTCCATAGAAAGCTTGATTGTGTTGGGGGGGTGTGAGGTGATAAATACTTATTTGCATAGGGAGTTTACACTAAATTATTGTGTCTCCTTTTCAAAACTGTTGTGATTATAGTTTTCTTGAACCGATGGTCTATCAGAAACAATTTCTATCTATCTTCACAAAATAGGGGTAAGGTTTGGGTACAAACTATCTTCCTCAGACGCCACTTGGGATTATGTATATACTGGGTATGTTGTTGCATGTTGTTGTTGTTGTTGTTTGAGTTTATACTTAACTAAACAATTAAGCTTAAAAATCAACAAATCAAAGCCGAATTGCATATCTATTAATCTTTATTAAGCGTTTAAAAATGTATATGCAAGATATATATCTTATTATATTTATTGACTTGGTGTAAACATACGTTACGGGTAAATCTTTACATGTGTGTACGGTTGTGCGTAGTGAGTTCAAATATAGTGTGACTTTCTTTTTGTTTGTGACAATTGATTACCTAAAAAAAAGTATAGTTCCCATTTATTGGCTTAGAAAAATTTGGCAACTTAGCATAGAATCAGGTAACAGGAAGCAGTCTTTGAATATTCAAGAAGCTTCTCAAAGGCAAAAAATTTTAAACGTCAATATTTTAATTTGTTGCAGTAGATTAGTCGAAGGGGAGCATTGAAGTAACGGTAAAGTTATTTTCGCATGAATTATAGATTACGGGTTCGAGCCGTGAAAGTAACTATGAATATTTGCATTAGGGTATACTGTCTATATCACACTCCTTGGGGTGCGTCCTTCCCCGAATACTGCGTGAACACGGGATATTTTATACATCGGGATGCCCTTTATAATAGATTAGTTAACATTTTTACCAGATTGTCGACTTTTTGTTTATTATAAATATTTACTTATAATTATCTTATAAGTGATCCGTTTATATAAATATTTTTTAGATCATACATGAATAAAACTTAGCTAGTGTTTAGATATAGATTTGGTATAAACTTGAAAATTTGAGTTTTTGAAGATGAGATAAAAAAATAATTTTTGAAAGTTGAAATTGTATTTGGACATGCATTTTACTTGAAAAGAATTACTCTAGAGTTGTTTTTTGGATTTGAAGATTTTGTTTTCAAAATTCTGCAAAAATTAAAAATGGTTAAAATCTATAAACAAATAGATATTTGAAAAAAAGCTTTCAAATTTTATGGCCAAACGGGAACTTAAACTCTAGTGAAGATGAAGAACAAATACTAAGGCAAAGTAATAAAAACAAATATATCCTGGAAAGATTATCAAAACAAAAAATGAAGGGACAAAGGAAAAGAAAAGGAAAGAGCCACAAACAAGAACAAAAACAAAAACATGAGTGACAAAGCACAGTAGTATATTAGTTGGATAATACTATCATTAAGCATTATGAGCAGTGCAGGTTAATTAATAGTGATGCTAATGACACTATATTTCTTGACAATTATATTGGATGTATTAGGAAAATATTATCAGTGCTACAGCTGTATTACTCAACGAGGTTAAATTTTATGGCATTAGTACGTGTCGATCATGAGAAAGTTCTCGCCACTATCAAGGAATATAGTAGAATGGATAGGATTTAATCGGAGATCTCACGTACGGCTCCTAGAAATGAATTTTTTTTTTGATAGTGAATGCTTTTTCTTTAAATGACCTTTTGCGCGACGCGAATCTTAATTAATTAGATTAATGAATTTTTTGAATACGAAATGGTTAATAGTAATAAAAAAGTTGTCGCCATAGGGGTGTTGGAAAATTCTACTATATATAAAATATATCTATGGTGAGACCAGCAAGTTTACTTAATCATATCTGCTTATTATATAAGCAAGGATCTTGGGAGTCAACTGAATAAAATCCCATATTATGATATTTGCCTGCCTTTCCACTACAGCTGAATGTTTATAATATTCAAATACTTGAAGCATAATGAAATTTTAGCCCAAAAAAAAAAAAAAAAACAAAGGTGGCTGGTAGCGATGGTCGTGCAGTGATGGCTGATTATGATCGCGGTAATAAGGTGATGGTTGGTAATATAATATGCTATAATAACTATCTCTGATACCAACTGTTACGAGTCGAACCCTTTAAGTGTCAGCGACACACAAATAGCTCGTGCGAGTCCCACCTCACTACAAGCCAGCCTTCTCTTATCTCACGTTACTTGGCACGACCCTGTGACTATGCCGAAGCTTGCCTTAGAGGCTTAGCTTCTCTTGTACCGTCCATTTGATGTTTAAGGTTTCAATGTCTTGTTGATATATTCATGTTTCCATATTCGTGTGGCGCATTTCATATGATGGGTCTTGTCCTTGTGCACTAATGAAATCAGCTGAATTCACTCGACAATACACCATGCAATTGATTCAGAGTGAGGAATTTACAGAGAGAAATGAGAGGAGATGAGGTGAAGAAGATGAACGAATGTAATTCTCATTGAAGTCACTAAAAATACGCGTGACTAGGCATTTATAAGTGCCACATCTAACCGCCTCTAACTAACTATCTTTTAAGGATAAAACTTTCTAACTTTGACACATAGGTCCCTCAACTTACTTTTGTGTGTAACTAGTCTATATTACAATACTCCCCTTCAAGCTGGTGGATGAAACACATTGATCACACCAAGCTTGGACAAAAGAAAATGATGCTGTGCTAATCCCAGACCATTGGTCATAAGGTCTGCCAATTGTAGATTGGTAGAAATGCATTGTGGTGCCAATTGCCCAGTCTTGATTTTTTCTCGAACAAAATGATAATCTATCTCAATATGCTTAGTTCTTTCATGAATGATGGGATTGGATGCTAATCTAAAGAGCAGTCTTACTGTCGCAATGCAAAGGAACTGGTTGATGCACAAGGACTTGAAGCTCTTTCAGCAGTCTTGAAAACCATGTATTCAGCTTCTGTTGAACTTTGACTCATAGTTTGTTGCTTCTTGGACTCCCAAGAAAGCAAGGAATTACCCAATTTAATGATGTGCCCTGTGACTAATCTCCTAGTGTTTGGACAGAAGGCACAATCAAAATCACAATAAGTAGATAGACTGTTAATAGGGCCTGTGCTTAGTAAAATTCCAAGGACTGGGGTTGATTTCACACATCTGACCACACGCAATGCTGCATCCCAATGAGATTGTTTGGGATGTTGCATAACTGGCTGAGTACTTGAACTGCAAAGCTAAGATTTGGTCTAGTAATGGTTAGATAGAGTAACTTCCCAATGAGTCTTTGGTAGCTTCCAATATCTTCCAGTTCCTCATCTCCCTTGACTCCTACATGCTTATCATAATCGATGGTAGTTAATTTCTGATTCAATTCAATGGGAGTGGAGATCGGCTTGGCTGCTGCAAGTCCAACTTCTAAGATCAATTGCAGAACATACTTTCTCAGAGTGAGCAGTATCCTTTTCTTTTATCTCGGAAATTCTATGCCAAGGAAATATCGAAGTTCTCCTAGATCCTTTACCTTAAAGGAATTGTGTAGGGTCTGTTTAGCCTCTTCAATCAGTTCTACATTGCTTCCAGTTATAAGTAAATCATCCATATACACCACGATGACAACAATGTGAGGTCCTGCATGTCTTCTTAGTGAATAGAGAGTGATCATGAGCACTTTGAGAGTATCCTCCTTCCAGTAAAGTTTCAGTCAGCTTAATGTTCCACTGCCTTGAGGCCTGTTTAAGGCCATATAGAGATTTGAGCAGCTTGCACACTTTGTGCTCCCCTTGTTTCTGGAAACCCTAAAGTAAGTCCATATAAAATTCTTCATAGAGGCCTCCTTGCAAGAATGTATTGTTCACATCCATTTGAAATAAAGTCCAACCTCTTGATGCTGCAATGTTGATCAATGTCCTCAGAGTGACCATTTTTGCCACTGGGGAAAAAGTCCCATGATAATCCAAGCCTTCTTGTTAAGTATAACCCTTAGCCACTGATCTAGTTTTGTATCTCTCTATTTTCCCATTTGCTTTGTATTTTATCTTGAACACCCATTTAGATCCTATTGCTCTCTTACCAACAGGCAAGTCAACTATCTCCCAAGTAGAATTGTCCTCAAGAGCCTTAATTTCTTGTAATATTGCCTCTATCCAGTTCTTTTCCTTGCATGCTTCCTTGAAGGATTTAGGTTCAACTTCTGCTGCAAACGCTCCCAAATAGTCCTGGTAGTTGTTGGATAAATGATTGTAGGCAACAAAGTTGGAGATACAGCGTGGCTTGTTCTGTGAGTGGGATGTGGTAATGTAATCTTTCAGCCAAATAGATGGTCTAGAAACTCTGCTGAACTTTCTGGTATGCAAGTTATCTTCAAGTGTTACTTCTATAGATGGTTGGCTTGTGTCTGTTTGTGCCTCAACTAATGGTGCTCTCTGTTGAACTGTGTCTGTATCATCAGACTCAACTATTGGAGTCATGCTTGTTCAGAATCAGCTACTACTAGAATGGCTTCTGAGTCTGCTACTGCCATTTCCTCAGTTGGAATCTGCTCTTCAGTGTTTGGATGATGAACTACTTGTTCAGGCAGGAACTCATCTGGAACAACTGATGGTGTATCACTTGGGAAAAGATCTTTTGCAATCTGCATCCCTTTCTTGAAAGGGAAGATATGCTCTCTAAATGTTACATCTCTGCTAACAAATACACTTCTGCTTTCCAGATCATATAACCTATAGCCCTTTTGTGTTTCTGAGTAACCAATGAGAATAGATTTCATTGCCCTTGGTGAAAATTTATCTCCTCCAGGTAAATTGCTTGCAGAACAAAGGCATCCAAATACTCTTAGGTGATCTGTTCTTGCTGTTTTTCCATGCAGCATTTCATATGGACACTTCCCTTGTAATACTCCTGTGGGCAATTTGTTTATCAGATAGGCAGTTGTTCTTACACAGTCTCCCCAAAATCTTATTGGCATTGAGCTTTGGAATTCCAGTGCTCTTGCCATTTCCAATAAATGCTTATGCTTTCTTTCAACTGTACCATTCTGTTGAGGGGTATATGGGCAGCTACTCTGATGAATGATCCCCAAGGAAGTTAACAATTCATTACATTGAGAATTAAAAAACTCAGTACCATTGTCCGATCTTAACACCTTCACAGTTATACCAAACTGATTTTGAATCACTGCAACAAAATTCCTTATTACAACTAATACTTTATTCTTTGACTGAATCAAACACACCCAAGTATACCTACTATAGTCATCAGCAATAGTAACAAAGTAGTGCTTCCTATCATATGTAGGTATTCTGTGAGGTCCCCAAACATCTAAGTGAATGAGCTAAAAAATTCCAGTAGAACTAGTACTACTAATAGGAAACTTCAACCTACACTGCTTAGCTAATGGACACACTTGATAATTCTCTTGTATCTGCATATAAACTTTATTCTGCAACCCTGAAATATGCTGCATTGACTTCATTGAAGCATGTCCTAACCTTAAGTGCCAAAGCTCAGTTTCTTCTCATTTTCTAAGGAAAATTTCTGCTGCTACTACTATTATATTCTCCTTAAGCAAGTACAAACCATTGTTCTCTTTACCAGTCTCCATCACCCTGCCACTATAAAGATCCTGAAACATACAGAAATTAGGGAAGAATGTGACTGAGCAACAGAGATCCTTTGTGAGCTTTGATACTTATAGCATGTTAAATTTAAAATCTGAAACACATACAAGATATTTGTTACTTTCTTATTTACTAATATGGAAGCCTCTCCTGTGTGAGTTATTTGTGCTTTACTTCCAGTAGGAAGCTGCACTCCATGTCTCCCTTGATCATCTGCCCTTTTAATATTGTTTAGAATGTCCTTACAGATGTAACATGATGTGTTGCTCCTATATCTATTACCCAATCACACATACCTGCATTGGATAATAGTGAGACTATACCTGCAAAGTTATTAGAGCTTTCTGCAGTTGTTGTTTTCGACAACAACTTGACCAGCTGTTGGTACTGTTCTGTGTAGAACCGCCATGCTCCTTGTACCTGCACAGTCGTTGGTTTCCCTTCCTCATGGTTTGTATTCACATTGTTAGCATAAGCCATTCTTCGTCCAGGCTGACTCTTCTTTTTACTCTTAAAGTCAGCTGGATATCCAATTATTTTGAAGCAATTCTCCTTAAGATGCTCTTTATACCCACAATATTCACAAATGAGATCGGACCTTTTTGCTCTAAAATCCCGACCTCTCCCTGCAAACATGATGAGTGGTTCCCTATATGTATCAACAACACCTAAAGACCTCTGACTTTCTTCTTGAGTGAATATAGCATAGGCTTCATTAACGGTCACAACAGGCCTTTTAGCTAATACATTACTCCTTATGTTGCTATAGCTTTTATTTAGCCCCATAAGGAATTGTAACAAACGTTGAGATCTCAGATGTTCAACTGAGGGTCGAGATTCTTCACAGTCACATGAAGACAGTGGTACTAACACATCTAATTCATCCCCCAAGTCCTTTATTTTAGAGAAATAGCTAGTAACAGAGTCAGTACCTTGCCTTAGAGTTGCGATGGCTATCCAAAGGTGATAAATCCTTGTCAAGACTGATCGATCAAACCTTTCCTGAAAATCATTCCACACTTTCCTTGCATTAGAGGCATAGACGATACTCGGCATCAATTCACTCGATACAGTGCTCCCAATCCATGACAACACGGTCGCGTTATATTTTTTCTATTGCTCTGCTAATTCTCCTCTGTACATACTCTTCACACAAATTCCGTCCACAAACCCTAGTTTACTCTTTCCCCGGAGCGCCAACTTTATCGCCCTACTCCACAGAGTATAGTTTTCTAGCCATGTGAGTTTGAGCGGTATCAGGACGAGTCCTGGACCATCTGAGGGCTGTAGAAACAACGGATGATTGTGATCTAGAGAAGCGACTTCGTTTCCTGCCATGGCTGACTGAAACTCAGCTTCGTCGGAGCTCCGATCTTCTGAATTTTGCTTGAATCTCGATGAATTCACGATCGCCGCTCTGATACCATGATGAAATCAGCTGAATTCACTCGATAATACACCATGCAATTGATTCAAAATGAGGAATTTACAAAGAAAAATGAGAGGAGATGAGGTGAAGAAGATGAATGTCTGTAATTCTCATTGAAGTCACCAAAAATACACGTGAGTGGGCATTTATAAGTGCCACATCTAACTGCCTCTAACTAACTATCTTTTAAGGATAAAGCTTTTTAACTTTGACACATAGGCCCCTCAACTTACTTTTGTGTAACTAGTCTATATTACAATAAACCCGGGGGATATATCCCTTGCTTGGCCTTGAGCATCACTCTCGTGCGCACGTATAGTCCAATGCTCAAGCTTGACACTTGTCATGTGCCTGCGCACATGGCTTGTGCTTTGCCCGATATGCATAAAACTTTAAGTGAATATTATCTTAATGATTTTAAGACTATATAAAATCTAACTAATCGAAAATATTCAAAGCAAGCAAATGATTGTTAAAAAAATTCAAATCAAAAATTATTTTTATGCTTATTTCTTTATATTTTAACACTCTTCAGTAAAAATCTAACTTTCTCCCTTTACCCATAATGGAGTGCAAATCTACAGGAACCAATAATAGTAGTAGTAACACATTTGAAAGAAGATAATCAAATGGGACCAGCCTTTTTTTCCAAAATAGAAGTAGCCATCGCAATTTACACCTTTCAATATGATTGTCACTTTCTGAAATACTAGAAAATGATGATTTTCCTAACGTAACAAACTCTCATTTGTCTGATGTAAAAGCCTTATTGCAGAAGCTGATTTTATGTTACAAACGAGGGTTTTTAGGATCCTTTTAATTTTCAACTTCTAATTATACTAAGACAACTCATAGGTTGGACTTTTCCTAAAAATCTCACCTTATTCTAATATTGTGATAGTTTACACCTATCTCCTTTTTTACCTTTGTGTTTACCTTCCTCTTTTACCTTCTTAATTTTTATTATTTTAACTAGGAGTATTCGAACGAGAGTCTTAGAGTAACGGTAAATTATTATCTCCGTGTGACTTATATGTCACAAATTCAAGACGTGGAAGCAGTCACTAACCCTTACAGTAGGGTAGGCTATATACATTGTATCCCTTGAGGTGCGGTCCTCCCAAACTCTACGTGAACAGGATACCTTGTGCATGGGTTGTCCATTAATTTTTCGGAATATATTTATACTCGTATATATCCGTTTATGTAAAAAGGACGAGTCACCAACATTGAAATCAGTAGTTTTCATACTTCATATGTTGATCTACGTATTAATAATTTAAGTTATATACATTAAAAGTATAGATTTTCTTTTAAATATTAGTGTAATGTAAATGGTTATATATAGCTGATTAATACTCTATTTTCAAGTTTCATATCATGCTTACTAAGAAGAATATATATTTATTATTGTAGATCAACCTAACCTGATAATGTAAAAGTAATTATGCATTATCAGTATATAAAGCGTTGTTGCATATTAATATCAGTGTAATACATAAATGATTATCCACTGTCTCTCCTCAGCATCAAGCATTCACATTAAGATATATTATACAGTCAGACCTTTCAATAACAGCATTCCTATATAACAACACTTCACTATAAAAGCTAAGCTTTTTCGGAACTAAATTTTATGTTATGTTGTAATATATATTCTCTATAACAGCACATCCAAAAATATTCTGAACAAATGAGGCTGTTATAGAGAGGTTTGACTGTATATACAATCAGTATTAACATTTTTCATACTTATTAAAGTTTAACCGTTGATAATATGCCAATATTACTCTATAGTCAGGGTTGGAGTTAGCGTTTGATATACGGGTTTGGCAAAATTCAATAAATTTGATCCAGACTTTGTATTTATATTAAAAAAATTCACTTATAGTATAAGTAGTTTATTTAGAAGCCAGTATTGTGTTTATCTTTATTTCGCCTCAGCCATTAGTACACAGAAATTAAATTCCTAGAACTTTTTCTTTATTCACCTTAGAAAGTAATCATTTTATTTTTTTATTTTCTTGTTTATTCTTATAAGATTTACATATACAAGTCATTCACTGTATTCACACGGTCTTATACACGTCATTTTACTATAGCTAGTAACTATAGGGTTAATTTAAAGTGCTAGATTTGGCTAATATTCTTTGATCGTGATTGCATGTATGATGCTAGCACAATTATTAAAATAAGGATTTTTTTTTTTTAAAAAAAAAAAAATACTTAATGCTAATGGTACAATTAAAGAAAGAAAACAGTGTAGTGAAAGAAAAAAGAGGAGCTAAAGCACTATAATTGGACCCCATAAAATGTCTCCTCAGTGCCCCCATTATTGATTTCAATTCTTCTCCACTTCACTTCTTCTCCTCCTCTCTCTTTCTCTCTTCCTCCATTAAAAAAAAAAAAATTTAAAAAAATTAAAAAAAAAAAAGTTTATCACCTTAGTAGTGAAAACTAGTACTAAGGTGCTTCTTTTCGATCTGTATACAAGCAGTTAAGCGCGAAGCTTTCTGAGTAAAAAAGCTCGTTCTTGTCAATATAGGACTGTCATTCGTTCAGCTACCTTTCAAACTATGATGTCATCAAGTGAGAAAACAAGAGAAGTAGGAGAAGGATCATCGTCAAGATCATCATCAGGTGGCGCTATTACTATAGCGCCACCTGATCATCATCATCATCACCAGCCATCACCACTACCACCGCCACAATTGAGTCGATACGAGTCACAAAAACGTCGCGATTGGAACACTTTTGGACAATACTTGAAGAATCAACGACCCCCCGTTCCACTATCAAATTGCAACTACAACCATGTGTTAGATTTTCTTCGATACCTCGACCAGTTTGGGAAGACTAAGGTTCATTTACATGGTTGTCTGTTTTTCGGACAACCCGACCCGCCCGGACCATGTACTTGTCCTCTTAGACAAGCATGGGGTAGTCTTGATGCTTTAATTGGAAGACTTAGAGCTGCTTATGAAGAAAATGGTGGTTTACCAGAGAGTAATCCATTTGCAAGTGGTGCAATAAGAGTTTATTTAAGAGAGATAAGAGATTCTCAAGCTAAAGCAAGAGGAATTCCTTATAAGAAGAAGAAGAAGAAAAAGAAGATGAATATGCAAATTAAGACTAGTAAGACTGCTGCTGTTGCTGTTGCTGTTGCTGGTGCTGCGACTTTTCAGTTACAATCTTCTTGATTGTTAAAAAAGGGTAAAATTTTAAGCTTTTAAAATAAGAGGATTTTTTTTTTTTTTTTGAAGTGGGTCATATTTTTCTTATACAATTTGAAGATACTTCATGATATGAAGGTATGTAAAAAATAGTGCTATATAAATTAAGTATTCTGAATTAAGGTATTTCTCTAAGATCATTATATGGGTAAAATGTTCATTTAGTGAGTTTGTGGCTTTTTCAGTAAATTAAACCCTAAACTAGAGTTTTGAAACCCTAAAGTTACATAGATTCTTCTGAATTTTGAGTGAAAATTTTGATTCTTACTCCAAGACTAACTATTGGGCAGCATTAATTTGTGTTTAGAAGAACACTCTCTCTCTCTCTCTTTTATATTTTTGGGCGGGGCGGATCTAGTATTGTTGAGTTAGGTTCATTTGAATCCATAACATTAGTATAAACCTAGATTTATCAGTGTAAAACTCAAGGGAATTGCAGAAAATATTGAACTATGAGCGCAAAACTCAAACAAGGTTATGATTCAGTGGATGAAATTAAACCGAGTCCTACACCTATAAAATTAAAATTTTGGCTCCGCCTCTGTTTGTGGGTCTTATCGAATTTTTAATATCTTTGTGAATGCTTTTGTAAAATCTTGTCTCATTTAGGAGATTAAAGGTTATATTAATGTAGTAGAATTCTTTATTATAAAATATAAGATTGATCCTGCATGTATTAGAAAGTTGTACGTGTCTTTTGGTATATGTATTTAACAACAGATATAACATAACAATTGATCCTTATATTTTGGAGATCTTCAAAACAAGAAACAGTCACTTTTTGCTGCGTCATTTTTCTACACAAAACTAGCTATATATATAAATCCGACCGGGGGTCAAAATTTCTTCGAATATGTTTTTGAATTTATTCGAGATGTGAGTAAAACTCAAATTTGAGAAGAATATGGACCCTTCAATGTCATTTTCGTTTATTTTTGTACATGTTCTATAATTGAACAATGTTATTTCTTTTGTCTATTCTAGAAGAGTTTTATTTCTGTCATACTTTGCTTCTAATGTTGGTCGTAGCCTCGTACCTTAATTTGGGTCCATTTTTTCATGCAGTAATGGATTCAGAATATAGACGATGTGTGTTCTAAGTGTAAGATGTATGTTATGTTAACATTTTAAGGTTTCATATAAATTAACAATGGTTCATTCTTATTATATTCTTTGGATGCTTCCAATATATTCATATTCTCTGTTGTTGTCTTCGATTTAGTTTTCTAATTATTTGTTTTGCTATTATTTGCTATCAGGGCTTCTTTCACCTTCTTTAGCCGAGGGTCTATCGAGAACAGTCTCTCTACCCTTCCAGGGTAGGGTACCTTTCCAGGGTAGGGGTAAGGCTGCGTACATCCTACCCTCCCCAGACCCCACTTGTGGGATTACACTGGTTGGTGGTGGTTGTTGTTGTTGGATGCTTCCAATATATCATACCATTTTGATTTAATGAATGAGTTGGATCTGTTTCTTGCTCAGATGACTAAATTTTACACAGCTTTTACAGTATTATATGCAATACTCTCATTACTAGAAATACAGCCTTCTCCCACGGAAGAATCGGTGGAAAATTCGTGTGAAATTTTAATATTCCCACGACATTCCCAGGGGAGACGCTCAGTGGAAATATGGCTGGTGGGAAAATAGTTTCCCAAGACATTCGTGGGTAATTGCCAGAGAGTTTCCCATTGAGGGTTTCACGAGAACTTGTTGGGGTCACATAGTGTATTTTCCTACAAACGTTGTGGGAAAAGTAAGATAATATAATAATTTAATGAATGAGTTGGATCTGTTTCTTGCTCAGATCACTAAATTTTACACAGTTCTTACAGTATTATATGCCATACTCTGGTAGTGCAGTCTTTCTAATCTTAATCTGATTAGTTAAGTTCTATGTATATAAGTTGTTCACACCATGAGGTAAAGTTGGTGTACAATAGATCATAGCAAATCTAATATGAGTAAACATAGAAAATAGAGTAATAACCTTTTATATAAACGATTAAAATTGTAATATAATGTCAATTTGTTTGCGTGTCCGTGTTTATAATTTAAATCCATATTTCTTTTTGCACTCTCATTCATAATAGAATATTATTTATGTCACGTCGTTAATAATAGTTTTTTCTTCATACCTTTATGATATTTGATAGCTATAGACCTTTGATGTGATAAGGCATTAAATTCCAGCATTATTTGTAGTTTAGTTAGGCCCATTCCATAAAGATATTTTTCAATTAAGCAAATCTCGTATAGGGTAAGAACCACTATAACTGCAAGCTATGAAAGAAAATAATTATTCTCATTATACATGTGTATACCTTTATATTCTTTTGTTTGTTGAATAAACGTTTTGGTTATTTGACTGATTTGAAGGGTCATTGATACAATAGCGGAGTTAAAATTTGCACTAAGGGATTTTTGCAACCCTTAACTGTTGGCTAAACCTTCAGCTTATATCAAGGGAAGTTAACATATTGTATATAAATATGTTAATTACGAAAAAATTTAATCTATTTTCCGATGAAAGGGTGTCCTCTTGAACAAGGATAGCTCCGCCTCTGAGTAAGCACATCTAGGGTCTTGCATCGTTTTTCAAATCATGGTCTAAGAACCTTTTCATTTTATTTTTTTGATAAACATGGATAATATATATTAAAACTTACGGAATATTGTCGATTACATCATTTAAAATAGAAACAGCCTTAAGGACATTGGTATTGCCCAGGTCGGCTAGCATACAGCATATATCAAAACTAATGTTAACAAGATAAATATGGGCCACCTTATCTGTTTCCAGATTATTTATAACAAAAGGGGGTGGTGTAGCTAGTGGTTGATAAGCAGCTGTTTCATTGAGTGCATGTTGTGTCAGATTGTGTGCCACTTTGTTCCCTTCCATGAAGTTATGGATGATCAATGGCTCCTTCAGCTGGTGCATTAACCACCTGCATGATTGTAAGATAGAGTTGTGAGGAACAAAATTTAACTTTAGTTGTTTTATTACCTAATTTGCGTACGTTTCTACGACCAGTGGAGTTAGTCTATGAGTTAGAACTAACTTGAGACCTTCTTTGAGAGCCTCCAGTTCAACTTGTAATGGTGAGCTAGCTGGGACAGTGCTTTGGAAACCCAAAATCTAATTCCCTGCTTGATTCCTAAATACCCCTCCAATTCCCCCTAATTTGAAATTGTCCTTGAAAGCACCATCAATATTTAGTTTGAAGAAAGATTGATGAGGTTTATACCATGCAACACTTATTGCATGGGAATGAACAGTGGCTTTTTCCTTAGAGTGAGAAGCTTATATTCTATCGCTAGGTTTAGATCCTGTTTTGGATTATAAACATAAGAAAGGTTTTCATGGTTGTTTTTATTTCTGTTTTGCCAAATCCCCAAGAGCATAAAAGGGAAGAGTTCCTCCCAATGAAGGTGTCTATAATGACTTGGGTTGCCTAGAACCTTTATCTTATCTAGCCAGTGGGAGACATTATTTAGAGAGGACCTATTTAAACCACTCAAATTCCAAAAATTGAGGACATCCTTGCAATTTAAGAATATATGGACTATAGTTTCATTTACACACAAGGCATATAGGATCAATGTTAAGACCAATATGGTGAAGGTAGGACCGCGTTGGTAGTCTGTTGTGATAGCATTTCCAAAATAGGAATTTAATTTTGTTAGGGCATTGTAAAGACCAGATCCAACTGAAATCAGTTAAGCTCGTTGAGCTGATCCTAATTAGGTTGTAACAACTTTTAGAGGAGAAGTTTCCATCCCCCATTAGGTCCAAAATAATAAATCATGAGAGTAGTTGCTAGGGTGAATAGATAGGATACTACTTTTGATATCTATGGGGAGGTCAAAAGAAATTTTGTTAAGATCCCTTGTTATGCCAAACGTCAGTAATGGTGAGGTCGCCACTGGATGAGGGGAGGGGACCTTCCACTAGTTGTCTAAGGTTTTTTGATTTTGGGATCCAATTTGAATCCCATATGTTCACGGTGGAGTGAGTATGGGGGATCCATTTAGTGCCCTTGGAACATACTTCCCATCCTTTAATAACACTTTTCCAAATGAAAGAAGTGTTCTTTAGATTTAAAGAAGAGTTGTAAATGAAGGAGAGGGTTTTTGACCAGGGTTTATTTGGATTTTGAATCAGTCTCCAAGCAAGTTTAGCTAAGCTGACTAGATTTTTATCCTTAGATGAGTGGATGCCAAGGCCTCCATTATGCCTATTCTTGGTTAAGGTATCCCAAGAGATTAGATGCATTTTTTGGATGTGTTTGTAGTCCCCCAAATGAAATTTCTTTTGTACTTTGTCAATGTGTTTTGTTATTTTTATTGAGAGGAGATTATATTGCATGGCATGATTTGGGATACTGTTTAGGGCTGATGAGGCAAGGGTGGTTCTACATGCAATGTTTAGGAAGTTTGATTTCGAAGATGCTAGTCAGTCTATGATAAATTGGTAATCGGAGGATTTAGGCTTTATGTTTGTAACTGGAAAGCCTAGATATTTTTCAAAATTTTTACTAATGTTAATGTTGAAGAGTCTAGATAATGCCTTGGAAGTGACTTTTGGACAGTTTTTGGAGACAATAATTTTTGATTTGTTAAAATTTATTTTTTGTCCGGATAAAGTACAGAAGGAATTAAGGCACTGAAGAATAGTGTTAGGGGATTTCTTATCAATTTTACACATAAGGGTAAGATCATCTGCATAGAAGAGGTGAGAGAAATAGCAATGTTTGTTACCCATTTTAATGGGGGCCAAGCTCCAATATCCACACATTGTGATTTATTTGGGTTGATAGTATTTTCATACAGAGGATAAAAATGTATGGAGATAGTGTGTCTCCTTGTCTGATTCCCCTGCTAGGGGAGAAAAAAGTACTTTTGCTACCATTCACTAGAACAGATATTCTGCTTGTGGTGACACATTTCATAATGATAGAGGTGATCTTTGGAGGAAATTTGAAATGTCGGAGAGTTCTGTAAATGAAGGACCATTCCAGACGGTCAAAAGCTTTTTCAAATTCTATTTTAAGGACCATGTTAGCAGTTGAACCTAGCTGTTTGTGCATTTTAAGCATTAATTCCTGAATAATTATAGTGTTATCACTAGCACGTCTACCTTTTAAAAAACTAGCTTGATAAGGACTAATAATATTATGCAGGAACGGCATTAGTCTGTTGGCAATAGTTTTTGTAATAATTTTGTAAATAGTGTTACATAAACCAATTGGCCTAAAATTCTTTAGATTGGTGGCATTATGAATTTTAAGAAATAGACAGAGGTAGGTGTCATTAATGCCAATTGGGAGTTTGCCAGTTTCAAAAGCTATTTGACATAAGGATGTCACAGAGGTAAGAACCTTTTCATTGATTTGAGGGAGGATATATAAGAACTTTCAATTTACATAAAATAATTAAATGAACTCCGGGCTAGTAAAAAGAGCAGCCTGATGCACAAAACATCTCGTATTCATGCATGGTCCGGGGAAATGCGGAACCCAAAGGTATGATGTAGACAGCCTACCCTAGGAGCGGCAAACGGGTGGGTTGAGTCGGATATGGTTCGGATTGAAAACGGGTAATGAAAAAATGGATAAATTATCCGACCCGGCCCATATTAAATACGGATAAAAAACGGGTTAACCGCCGGATAATATGGGTAACCATATTATCCATGACTTCTTGAATATGATCACTTTTGGAAGAATTCTTAGTCTCTCAAACTTAAGGAACCCCCAATTTGAGGCTTTACAAATGTAAAAGTTAAACCCTTTGGTTATCCATTTTCTAAATGGATAATATGGTTCTTATCTGTTAGGACCGAAATGATCAGGTGTCATGCGGAAGCTAGCAAAGCAAACCTTGAACGACGATAAATCCAACAACAAAAGAGAAATATACCAAAAGAGATACAAATATCTAACGTGGTTCGGTCAACTGACCTACATCCACGGATGAGATGAGAAATCCACTATAATAAAGAGAGTACAAAATATCGAGAGAACAACCTCACGAAGAGGCAAACACAAGTGACACACTAACACTTGTCCCATAAAGTTCTCCTCCTAAACACGACTCTCAAACCCCATATGGCTACATTGTGGATGCTCCTGAATGAGAATGATGGATCTTCAATTTATAGAGCCCCAAACCTTTTCCTACAAGAAAAGGGACTAGCCAAAATGTGGAAGAATTATATTTTCATTCTAGGAAAAGAAAATTTCAATTATTGTAAATATGTTGTCCTTTCCTTCAAGAGATAGGAAAACCAATTATGGTAAGAAAATTTGGACAAACACCTAAAAATTCTCCCCCTTGGCCTGAATTTCTGACAAAATAAACTTGATCCACCTTCTTCACATAATCTTCAACAGGTCGCATCTCCAAATCTCCACCGCAAATTTTATCTCAACGTGCGTAGCACTCCGATCAAATTTCTCAAACAAAAATCACGATTACCGCCAAGTAGGTTGCGGCTAGAACTAAACCCGCCAAACCTGTCTTGAACCTCGCTCTGATACCACTTGTTAGGACCGAAATGACCAAGTGTCATGCGGAAGCTAGCAAAGCAAACCTTGAACGACGATAAATCCAACAACAAAAGAGAAATATACCAAAAGAGACACAAATATTTGACGTGGTTCGGTCAACTGACCTACGTCCACAGCGGAGATGAGCAATCCACTATAATAAAGAGAGTACAAAATATCAAGAAAACAACCTCACGAAGAGGCAAACACAAGTGACACACTAACACTTGTCGCGTAAAGTTCTCCCCCTAAACACGACTCGTAAACCCCATATGGCTACATTGTGGATGCTCCTTAATGAGAATGATATGGATCTTCAATTTATAGAGCCCCAAATCTTTTCTTACAAGAAAAGGGACTAGCCAAATATGAAAGAATTATATTTTCATTCTAGGAAAAGAAAAACCCAATTATGGTAAATATGTTGTCATTTCCTTCAAGAGATAGGAAAACTAATTATGGTAAGAAAATCTGGACAAATACCTAACACTTATCCACATTTGATATGTTTTTAAAAAGTTCATTATCCAACCCATTTTTTAGTGGATAATATGGGTGGTTAACTGTTTTCTTTTAACTATTTTGCCACCACTAGTCTACCCTAATGCAAGCATTAGTGGTTGCTTTCACAACTCGAACACCTGACCTATAGGTCCCACGGAGATAACTCAACCATTGATCCAAGACCTTTCAAATTCCCTAGCTAGTAATATATAGTATATAATATAATTGATGACGAGCAGCTGATGATTCACTACATTTCTGTTACTACCACAAAATGTCTCACATGCATTCTCAGTGCAAACAAAACTAAAACATTGCATTGTTCTTGCCTTATTATTACGCTATTGAAACACAACTCAAATCCTCAATCACTTGAACAAGTTGTGTGTTAATTTTACTTTATAAACATAACAATACGAGCTTCTTTCAATAAATTAAAATCAAATCAATTTTTCTGTATAAATTGTCGTGTGATATATCCACAAAAACATGACGAAGAGAAACTTTGGAGCAACAGTAAAATTGTCTTCGTGTGACCTATAAGTTACGAGTGCGAGCCGTGAATCAGTCACTAATGCTTGCATTAGAGTAGGCTGTCTACATATATCAACACCCCTAGGGATGCGACCATTCCCCGAACCCTGCCTAAATGCAAAATACATTGTGCATTGAGTTGCCCTTTAATTTTTGTTGTTTGTATACTCGCACCCCACCCCCACCCCAACCCCCCCCTCCCCCCAAAAAAAAGTGGAAAAATTATTGAGAACTATATGCAAAAAGCTTCAAGACATTGTAATCGTGTTAAAGAAGGTGATAATCTTAAAATATTCTAATGGAAGTAACCATGGTTAATTTTTGAACAACCAATGATATTATGTACTATAATTTTTCGTAGATAAACCTAGAATAAAGCGAAAAGAGAAGAGCAATATCAAATAAACTTATGGAGAAAAAGGATCTTTGCCTTGTGAATTATCAAAAAAAGCAAGAGACACAATATCTAGAGAATATTAAAAATCTATAAGAGACCCTACTGTTTTTTCAACTTTATAGAATCTTTCAATTTTTCATTGATAGGGACGATTGACCTTAATTGTAATTAGTCTCCACTAACTAATTACTAATCTTATCTGGTAGTATCTTTTTAAGGTGGAATTTTATTGATTTAATTTAAGTTTTAAATAAACTTTATTCTAACTAAGTAAGAAATTAGAAGAGAGATTTCTGATTTCTCGACACGAATAAAATGTTGAGTCTTCACATAAGTGTGGAAACTCTCGTTAATTACACGCGATTCACCGGCTTAATTATAATGAAAAATTAGACAGACTCGATTGCGACTATGTATAGAAGTTGGCGCTTGTTTAATGTCAGAAAGTCAAGAAAGTTGATGACCTGATAATGATCGAGTTTCATATATATATATATATATATTATTAATTATGCCTAATTAATGAACATAAAGGGGGCATGATAATTTACCTCTATTTGATTTTCATGATTATTCTAATACTATAAAAGGTATTAAAAATCATTTATCTCCAAGAATTTCTTAATCTAAAACCTAAGGATCGATATTGTAATATCATGTATGTTTATAGGGATCCTCAATGTAATCATTTCTTCAACTTTTTAAAGTGATTTCGAAACCTTAGTCACCCTTTTTGTCTCATTCCTACTTGGCATCATACTATGTTCTTTTGCCACCTTAATTCAAATCAACATAAAATAACAACATACCTTTAACTTTTTCAAAAGTTAGAATAACGACCATGTTTACTCGGAATGATGGTCTAACGGAAACAACATTTTTATTTTTATAAAGTTTTTGTTACGACTTCGGTGGATTCCCTTAACCATGTCATTGCCTATGAGTTGCCGATTCGTTCTTCAACAAGCACGCGGTCAGTGCCCTGGCTCCTCCCACACTGCTTGGGAGCTTACGGTTTCTTGTTCTATTTCACTCCCCGATGGGTTCTATGCAGTGGCGAAGATAGAAATTTTCCCAAGGGTGTTCAGACTTGAAAGAAGTAAAAGAATGTCCCCACAAAGAGTGTTCGATATATATTATACACATCAAAAAAAGTAATATTTTACTTATATACACAGTGTAATTTTTCGTAATACTTCGACGAAGGGTGGTCAATTGACCACCCTTAGCAAAAGGTGGCTTCGCCACTGGTTCTGCGTACCCATTATTCTCCCTAAACTCTACTTATAGAATTATACTGGATTTGTTGTTGTTGTCGTCGTATGATATACCAAATGTAATTGATACTATATTTAATTCCTCAAGATCCAAACTCCTCTAACTTAGTCAAGTAATCACCCTAATTTCTTTTTCATTCCTTTTTTTTTAATATGTTTTTTTAATCAATTGTACGTTCTTATCATGCTAGATGTACTACCATATAATAGTGACTTATACACGAATAGAGAAAAGTAATGAGAGGAACAAGCACTAGATTGAGGAGTCTTTTTCTTTTATATTTGGTCAAACATATGTAAGGCATATATATATACATCGTAATAAAAAACTTTAGACAGCAATGAGGAAAGATGAAAATGTATTTTACTGAGTCACTTTGTCTCAAATTATTTTATCATTGATGGGAGTGGGGTCTCTTTGCTTTTTTAATATGATATCGAAACCTATTAGTTTTGATTAATTTAGATTCGCATCATATACACTCTTAAAGGATAGAACACTTTATATCATGAGCTCATATCGGAGACATTTGGTTAATATATGAAGGAGTTCCAACAGTGAAAACTTACATCGGATGTTTACACAAAACTAATGATATGAAGCGCAACAGTTGACTGGACATCTAGGGTTAAAGCGCGGTTTTGATGCGGGCCGTGAGAGCGGTACCAAATCGAGGCAAACTCTGAATGTGTTTCAACATAGATTTCTATCACTTCATTATGATTGATTAACGCATATTCTCACTTTGTTATGTCACATAACCATGGTAAGTTGAATTAGTTTGCTGAATGCAGGTTAGTATTCATGCCCCTCGCTGGTCATACATCACTTTGCTTTGTTGAATAGTCATGATTTTAATGCTATGTGACTGGGTACAAAAAATTATACATTATAGGTAAAACAAAATTAATTAAATAAATAATGACAGAGAGAAAATTATTGTTAAATTTTAGTCCAAGAGAACATCCTCTATGATGTTTGAACTTCCAAAACATTCATCATACTTGAAGCCAATGAGAGCCTCTGAGGAAAGCTTTATAGTTAGTTAAAAGAATAGAGAATAAAAAATATAAAAAAAAAGGCAGTCGGGTGCACTAAGCTTCCGCTATGCGCGGGGTTCGGGAAAGCCGAACCACAAGGGTCTATTGTACGCAACCTTACCCTGCATTTCTGCAAGAGGCTGTTTCCACGGCTCGAACCCGTGACCTCCTTGTCACATGGCTGCAACTTTACCAATTACGCCAAGGCTCCCCTTCTAAAAGAATAGAGAATGATGGAATATATTTAATACATCAAATTTGCTCAAGTAATTCAAGAATAAGATTAAATACAAATGCTAGTTTATTCACAAGCATTAGTCTCTTCCCTCCCAACTTAAAGAACCTGAGGTGAAGCACTGAACCAAGCATCCTAGAAAAGCTACAAAATTACCAAAAGACTACTCTTTGCATATTTGCTTAGAATCATATGGAAATGCCAAGTTATTGGTACAACAAGGCTTCCACAGTCTGCTCTACAAAATTGCTGTCTTCAAGCTGCAACTGTATTTGCCTCGGATATACGATCCTCGACCTTGTCAAAATTGAAGCTCTTAGCAACGTCAAAGAAGTGCGCAACAGCTTCTTCTGGCGTACCAACGAGCACACCGTGGCCAAGATTGAGGATGTGACCCCTGGTCCCTGCACTCTTGACAACCCTGCCCAAGAAAACTAGTCAGATTTCTTCCCGGAATTAGAAAACTTGAGATATTGAATTTAAAAACAACCCCCTCCCTCCTATGAATGATTAAACTAAGAACAATACTTTTCTCATAATGTATAAAATATGAAACCATCATTGTAACATTCTACACCACCTATCTATTTTTTTATAACGGATAAATCCACGAGAGCTAGTGAAGCATGGTGCGAAACTCGGTGGATAATGAGCCCGCCACTCTATCCTTAACCAATTAATACTAGGCTTTTGTTTTTGACAAGATTCGAACCCGTGATGTGCGCCTAATCTACACATCACCCGTTGTGCTCTCATTACTAGACCAAAGCCCTGCGGGCCATTCAACACCGCAGATTAATATCATCTTTTTTAAATCATCCTAATTAACATGCAGTTCTAGACATGTTGTACAAGTAAAATAGTCTTTAGCTATTACCCATAGGGTATGTAGATATGAGAGTAATCATAACTGTTAATGTGCTTAGCACAATCATGCAAGTTAGTAGATATAAAGAAAGGCACTGATTCTAGTCTTCATAGTTTGTAGTGAAGTCAAAGATCAGCAACAATCTGGCACCACTTTTAACCAAGTAGCAGTTGGTCATGCACTTAAATGAATCAATCAATTATTACAACACGTCTAAGCATTAGTTCCCGAGGACGTTATGTACAATGTACTCCCTTTGCCCCGTTCCGATTGACATGCTTTATATTTTTATCAGTTCAGAAATATGCCATCTTTTCTAAAAGCCAAACCTACAATCTTCAAAATACAAATTATCAATCACATTAGTATGCCCTTTTCACGTCTTCCAGCTATTACCTTAACCTAGCTATAATAAACTCAAATACCATAACTCATTCAAACTTTGTTTTCTTAACTTCCATCAGTCACTTGGATAAAGGAAGCATAATTTTTGGAGGTTTTATTTCCTAATTAAGTTCCAAACTTATTAAATAAGCAATGACTATAGTTAAAGGTTCAGTTATGCGACAAACCTTTCAATTTCATCTGTCAATGCAGGAAGAGGACAAAATAAGCTAGCGGGATCAACATTCCCCTGTATGCCGATATCAGTTCCCAGTCGCTTCCTTCCATCTGCCATATCCACTGTCCAGTCAAGTCCAATTACATCAACTCCAGTTTCTTTCATCCGCTCAAGAAGTCCACCATTTCCATTAATGTAGAGAACAAGTGGTGTTTGTGGGCACTTTCGTTTAATTGTAGCTACTATCTGCATTCAAAACTCTGAGAGGTGTTCAAAAGGAAGCAGAATGAAAGAGATTTTACATAATGAGTAATAAAGCAATGACATTCCGACACAACCAACGGACTGTTAAAGAACTCAAAGAATCCTCCTCTAATCCACACATCCTCCATGATATGTTATACTTATGGCCGTATTTATGAACCTTATTTCTGAGTCTAATCCACCAAATACTTTAAGGGGTCGTTTGGTTCAAGGGATTAGGTGGGACAATTGGTAGGTTCTCTGACTAACAAAACAAAATCTAGCTTACCTCATCAATATAAGGCTTTGACCAGCAGTCCCACATATGAGGTGGGAGTTGTCCACCCCATGAATCAAATATCTGGATGCAATGAGCTCCAGACTCCACTTGGAAAACAATATACTCAGCAATTGCTTTTGACAAATGAGATAAAAGAGCTCTCAATACATGTGGAGCAGTATGGCACATGTCCTTAATTGTCGTATACATCCGAGTGGTACCTCCTTCAACTATGTAGGTAGCAATTGTCCAAGGTGCTCCAACAAAACCCAAAACTGCAGCTTGCTCTCCAACCTGACATTTCGGGGGAGGGGAATAAATCCCTTAGCTTTTATTACTTTTCTCATTAAACTTTACACCAAGACTATAAATTCAGATATCATAGTAAATATCCTATGAGCAGAAATAGCATGGGATTAACAAAGATACCTCTTTTCGCAAAATCCTAAGCGAGTCTCCTACAAATTGTAGTTTCTCCAAGTCAATGGAGTGCAATGCTTTTAATCCCTCTTCGGAACGAATGGGAGATTGAATGACTGGGCCTCTCACGTCTTCAATGTCAAATTGGACACCAAATGCAGGTAGAGGGGTAAGTATGTCCGAAAAGATGATTACTCCATCCGGACGAAAAGCTTCCCATGGCTGCAAAGAAATTTCCACGATGAGATCAGTTGTCTCTGATCTCTCTCTGAAGGATGGATGTTTCTCTGCAAGCTTTCTGTAAACAGCCATATACCTTCCCGCTTGACGCATCATCCATGCAGGCGGACGACTCACCCGTTCTCTTCTTGCAGCCTTCACCAAAAGTGGATCTGAAACACATATTGGAAGCACAAAGTTGAGTCCCTCACAACGAATCTGGAAGATGAGCTGAAGCAAAGTGCCACAAAAACCTGACAGCTCGACCTACCCCCCACCCCACCCCCAACCCCCAAAGCGCAAAGGAGGAGCGAGCTTGTAGGCTTGTAAACACCATGCACGCTTACAATGAGACAGCTTTTGCATTATTAGGGGGAAGAGGAATCAATCTACTATGCAGTTTTTGAATATGATGAGACCAAGTAAATCAATAGCAACATGGTTCCACTATTTTTAACCTTCTCAACAAAAAAAATATATACAGCAACATGGTTCAACTACGAGGAATTAACACCTTGAGTCAAGGGAGCACCCTTTTAAGTTTATCTCTTTTCTTCTTTGTTTTCTTTTATCACAATGTTGTTCGAATCAGCTTTTGCGCACCTCGACTATTCTGTCGGGTACCTGCTACATCCCACCAACACAGATACCGAATAACTCTGCCCACTAAGGCTTAAGCAGATGTGAAGAAATCCCTCGTTTTTTTGTCTCTGATGGGACTTGGATCCTGGTCTTCAAGATTTAAACCCCACTTCATTGACCACCACACACTTGGGTGCACACCTTTTTAAGTTTATTACACTGTTTCCTTATTATTATTATTATTATTATTATTATTATTATTATTATTATTATTATTTTGATAAGGTAGGTTAAATTTATTGAAGAGGGCACAAAGTTTGCCAAGAAAAAGAGAAATTAATTAAAACTCCGAAGACACTTCCTTCAAGATTACGACCTCAAAGTAATATAATCTAATATTCATACCAGAGGAACAATATCGAATATCCATACCAGACGAAGAATCATGAGCTAGTATCCAGAGGGATAAAACAAGTTATATCAATGTTTTTGCCGGAAGAGTCTGCTAACATATGACCGATTCTATAAGAAGATAATAATATGAAATAATCAGTATACATGTCATAGTGATCAAGATATAACTGTAAAGGTACTCTATAGTTTTTACACCAAGTTTCAAGAGTGATGAAAGTATTTGAGAAAATGTAATGCTACCAAAATGATCAAATTGATATTTCCTAAGATGGTAAATCCGGCAGACTGACACAATAGAAACAAACCCCTCAAACCCCAGTCATAGGCGCACAAAGAAACATAATACAAAATAGAAAGTATTCAATGTTCCATATTGAATCAACAGCAACAACACCTCACTCCCAAATAAGTTGTGGCTGGCTATATGTATCCTCACTGACTATGTACCCCATTTAAATTCATTTCAAGCCAATACTACACAAAATAAAAAAAAATAAAAAATGAAAAGTATCTAAAATTCGCTATAATTCTTCGGGCATAAGAATCTCTAATAGGGCTAAAAGATTCCTCGAAAGCATAACATGACTAAAATATGTTCCCAACTAAAACAAAACTCCGTTCAGAATCCCGACTTAAAAAGTTGCAGCTTGCATGTAACAAATATTTTAAGACAACTGAACAAAAGTGATCCATCTTCTAACAACTTCGCTAGCTTCTCACCTTTTTCATAGAGTAAGCAATAGGGTAGTATGATCGTGCGCTCACAAATTGGACTAAAGTAGTTAAGGCTTGAGCTCGAGGAAACTTGATTCTGCACAAAGCTCTTTCTTTATTACGTTCCATTCATCAAACACGATACACAATCCCATCCACCTTCAGGTACATTTGGTAAGATGCAAGATCCTGATTTACTCTATATCAAACCAGAACCATACTTTACTATGTGCGAGGACCTTAGCAAAATTTATATCAAAGAGTCAACAAATGTTACTCCCTCCATCCTAATTTACATGACAAAATTACTATTTACATAGTCAATAGAATCTCTTTGACTACCATTTTTCAAATATCTTTAAATAGTATAAAAATTATGATTTATAATAGTATCTTTATGTAGTTACAAAATATGCAAATTTTATTCAAAAATTAGGAATCATGCCTGAATTCACCAAAAAAATTAGATACTTCCGCCCTCGTACACCTTCCTCCGTCATTTATCTTGGAACAGACAGTGGCGGAGTCAGGAATTCATACAAGGAGAATTTAAAAAAAAAAATGTCACTTCTAGGATTTGAACCTAGGATTTAAAGCAATTTTTGAATCCCCTTTACCACTGCACTAAAATCTTCTATCAAGGATTCAACAGTCTTTATATAACAAAAAAAACATTTTTTTTTCCTATTCACACAATGTAATTTTTCAGCGAAGGTGATTCAATTGAACCCACGCTGAGTTCTTACAATGAACAGAAAAAATTCACATTATTTCAGCAATGTAAAGGAAATATAGTGGTATATTTAGAATAAAAATACAAGAAAAAGGAAAAAGTCAACTACAGGAGCCAAGAGATTATACCAGAAGAACAAGAGCAGGCCCGAAAGACTTTACTAGCATTGAGCTTTGTGGGTTTAGCCGAAACCCCATTTGACCCATTTGAATTAAACCCTAATTGCACAAACCAGCTTGAAGATGATTTCCAGCTTAATCCAAGATTGCAATAACTACTACTACAACCACTGCCAAAAAAAAAAATTAAAATTATGTATAGAGAAAGAATTGACAAAAAGAGCAAATTACAGAGAAATGGAAATGTGCAAAAAAGGGAAGAGTAAAAGCACTGACCTTGTTGTTGTTAATGGAGAGAAACCCATGGCTAAAGAGAGCGAGAAATGGATGTTTTCCCCCCTCTCCTTATCTTTCTTTTTTTTCCCCCTACGGAATCTCCCCTTTATAACTGGCTAACTGCCAAAAAAAGGCCAGGTTTTAAATGCAATGGTTAAAACTTAAATAAATAAAAAACACAATGGTTAAGGGGGAGAAATTTAAAAATAGCCAGATTTACAACTGGTCGTTCAAAAATAGTCCAATTTCAAAAGTAATCGAAATTTAGCCACTTTTTATGTAAAGATAAATCTGAGCGAAAACACTTTTCAAAACCCGGAAAATACTCCAGTATATTATGCTGGAGTTCCAGCATAAGTATACTTGAACTCGGAGTTCCAGGATAGTATGCTGGAACTCCAGCATAATATGATGGAGTTCCAGCATAAGTACACTAGAACTCCAGCATAATATACTGGAGTTCCAGCAAGTATAATGGTCCAGTATAATATACTGGAGTTTGGAGCACCAGTGCTCCAGTCTCCAGTATATTATACTAGAGCCAGCAAAGTATACCGGTCCAGCATAATATGCTGGAGTTCATACACAAGTGCACCGAACTCCAGTATATTATGCTGGACCGGTCTCTATTGCAGCAAAACGGTGGCTACTTTTTATTAACTTGGTAAATGCTGGCTATTTTTGATTGACCAGTCCGAAAACTTGCTATATCGTGCTATTTTTACTGGTTAAGGTATTTAATTGTTAGTACTCCGTATAAATTAGAAGTAATACATAACAAATATAAATTACTAAATTTATTGATATTTAAAAATATTTGAAAAACAATAATTAAAGTGAAACAATAATTAAACAATAATCACTATCGAATAATTAAACAAGATTGAGTAACTTTTTACAACTTTTTACGTTAAAATTTTGGTCGAATATTACTCCTGTCGATTAAAAAAAAGTCTCATTTTTAACCTTGATTCCTAATAGAAATTGAATTTGAGGGTAATTTAGAATATAGTTTAAAGTTGAGTTGCAAATGTAAACTTTTTTTTACCCATTTCATTCTGAAACTCCGTTAATGTTAAGGCAAATACGAGACGATTTGTTAATGGAAAGAATATGAATGGACCAAAAGTATAATGTATGATAAAATTAAAATAATTCGAATAATATAGGTATAAATATGGTTTTTTCTTTAATAGAAAAACTGTTTAATTTCCAAAAGAGCAATAAAAATATATGAACCTAAGACAGATAAAATATACTTATGTTTCATTGACCAAGAAGAAAAATGGGAAAAGGGGATTGAGATTCATTTGAGTCTTTAAGTTCTACCTAATTGTTAATCATATACTTAACCTTCCACTTTTTTTTATACTTACCATTCCACTTTCACTGTCTACATATGTTAATCATTAATTAAGTGAATATAAAAGCTTGCAGTTTTAAACTCAGTAAGAGTAGTTGGGTTGCGATAGGTTGATAACCAACATCAGGGGCGTAGGTAGAAATTTTTGTAAAAAGATGTTGAAATTTATAGAAGAACGGAAATCAATAACTTTAATTATCATATTTCTAAACATGGCATTAGTCCATTGTTTTGGCCAAAATTTCACGGTATAGCCAGTTTTCGGACTGGTCAATCAAAAATAGCCAGCGTTTACCAAGTCAATGAAAAATAGCCATCGTTTTGCTGCAATAGAGACCGGTCCAGCACAATATACTGGAGTTCGGTGCACTTGTGTATGAACTCCAGCATATTATGCTGGACCGGTATACTTTGCTGGCTCCAGTATAATTGATCACGCCCAACTATGCCTTATAAAAAGGACTAAATGGTCGCTGCAAATATAATCTGGTTTACAAGTCCGGAGTCGAATCCCACAGAGAACTAAGGTTTTGCTACAGTTGTTCACTATCACCAAGAAGACAAGCTTGAACAATTCCTAACTTATAGATATTAAGATTCTTGTGTTTAACTACTTAACTAACAAATTAAAATAGTAAATTAACAACTAACGATACCGAGGGTTCGAGAAAAGATTAAGGAAGTCTAGAGTTATGATTTCCCCTATTGTCGGAATCCTTCCCGCTATGTCTTCTATAATTTCGCCTAAGTATTCTCTACCGATCATGAGCACTCTTATTGCCGTAAATCTCTCCCGAGTAATTACGACAATTTACTAGACGCACTCTCCCGAGCTACGCTAGCTGGCTTTTAATACAGCTCACTTCAGATCGCACCCAAGGCTTCGTTATCCCTAATCCCGCCTTTAAACCCTCGGTTATTGATCTCTCATATACTTTGTGAGTGGTGTTGTTCAACAATTACCTAAATATGCACTCTCTCCCGAGTTATGCATACTAAATAGGCACAGCTAATTGAGAGCTCTTCAATCAACCAGAATATAAACGTAGTTGAACGAATAGAGAAAAGCTATGGCTCAATTATATAAAAACATAACAAGAATTTATCCTACAAAAGGTTCTATCAAAACTCTAGATAACAAATTAGCTATTCATAATAGTATGTAAAACTACAATACTAAAAGTCATAACCAACAATGAAAAATAGGAAGAGGAAGGAAAAACTTGTAGAAGAATTCTCCGCCTTGCTCCCAATGTGTTCTTGCCTCCAAGGGTGTTGTCTAACCCTAAAGTAGTGTCTCTCCGCCTCCTTAGGTCTAATTTGTGTCCAAAATATGTCCTCCTCTTGTTCTAGGCCGGCCTCCTTTGTTTTATATAGGGTTTAGGACTTAAAATCCCATGTTTTACACTTTAGCCCCTGAAATTTACGCTTCCCACCGCGGTTTCACCGCGATCGCGGTGGAACCGCGGCCAAACGCCCTCGCGGATTCTTCATTCTTCAGAAACTGCCTTCCACCGCGGTTCTGCCGCGGTTCTGCCGCGGTTGCGGCAAAACCGCGGTTTTTCACCCTGTTCCGTTTGGAATTTGGAAAAACGTAAAACATGAAAGTTGTAGTCCTTTGAGTTAGCTTTCCAACCATATATTGTGGAGCCCAAATGGAGTTCTGAGCAAAAAGTTATGTCTATTTTACTAGACAGTGCGCAATATGCTTCCTCAAGTCTTCGTTCGTACTTAATTATCAAATTTGACCTCCGAACACGATCCCGGCTTAATTCCTTGAGCTTTTACTCAGACTTCAAAGCTTCAAATCACTTAAATTCATTCCATAACATCTATATAGCTCGGAATCACACCTACAAGGCATAAAACACACAATTAGTGCAAAACACTAGCGATTAAAGCGCAAACTCAATTAAAGTGCAGTAAATTCGAGTGTAATAAGCTACTAAAATATGCAATTATAGCCTATCATCAACACCCCACACTTAAGCCATTGCTCGTCCTCGAGCAATCAAACTATATTTTTTTTTTTATAGACACGACCTTTTTAAACCATTCTCCTAACTCATCACACCAAGAGTATTTAAAATAGACTAAGCACAAAAGCGTAACATCTTCACCTCAAGATTTGACTCACAAGTACCACACGTTATTCACAACTCACCCACTTACTCTAATATAGAGGTGACTGACATTACCTTTTCTTCATGAATCAAGTGCCCTCACACAACAAAAGAGAGTAGTTCCACACAATAAAATTTAAGAACACTTAGGAACTCAAGATAGAAAGAATTCACTCACTCTCAGAAATAACATTCATATGCCCCAAAAGATGCACCATAAGCTTGCCCGTAGTGTACTACTCCACTAATCGAGCTCATTCAATCTTGGATCAATTAGGACTTTATTTGGTTGTAATGTAGGCTACGGGACTGGTAGGATTCATTTAGATATAAGAGTGACTACACCTCCCTAAGCACTTTAATACATACATTTTAACATTTAAACCCCATACTTATGTCAAACCAAAACTCCACGTTCACATCAATGTATATTACCCCATTCTTCTTTAAGCACACTTACGTCAAGAGCCACCACTTATCAAGATTTTTTTTTTTCAACAATCCAACTATATTTTTTTTCAATTCAAGTGGCTCTTCCTTTTTCAAAACAGTGCACCTTTCTCCTTATTCAATTAGTTCCACTCAAAAGCCAAACCAACCACCCCACACTTTAACTTTTACAAAGTTCATAACAATTCAAGTGCTCATGAGAGGTTTCAATGGTTCAAATAGATGGTTAATTCGAACAAATGGGTAAGGCTTGTAATGTGGTTGCCAAAGAAACAGGATTACAGGCTCAAAGAGGTTAACTACGATACATAATAATTAGGCGGGTAAAATATACATATCTGGCTCAACAAGAAAACGCCTATATCACTTCCAAGACTGAACAACACTACTATTTCGCTTTGCAAACACACGGGGCAAGTTCTAGGCATCAAATGCAATGCACAGAATATCACAAAACCTTACACACACATGGCACATAACTCACTCAGGATTGGATTCATCAAGACACCCTAGTCAGAGCAGTTAAGCAAATTTAAGATCATACAATTTAAGGTACTTATACAAGAGTCAAAAACTGAGCCTAAGCGTCACAGCCAAAGTACTCACTATTCTTAAGGCATAACCAAGTCAAGAGATATTGCTTCAATTTAAAACACAACACAATGGCTCCTACTCCCAAAAAAAAACTAACTACACCCGGTTCAAATAAAACCCTTGGAAAAGAACCGTGGTTTAAAGAAAAACCAAGGGGTAATTGCTACACTACCTAACAAAACAAAAAATCTTTTTGGTATTTTCTTTAGACTTACTTCCCTCAAGAAAACTGTCTAGAAGATCCGTCATCAGGAAAAGTCCAATTTTTTTAAAAAA